TTCAACATTCCACCAAAAATGGAAGAAACAACATAGAGTCTGGAGATTTTTCTCACCCATGATAATAACATACGAGGAACTGGTGGTACTGATCGTCCCGATTTACATTGTCAAGTCATCGGTTTGAAATATATACCGCCCAATGGCCATACATCGACAAAATGGTGGGGGACTTGAATAAAATATCTTCTATGACCTGACCACTTCATTAATTTAAGAAACAAACGACGGAGAAGGTGAAAAACTTACCGGAGACCAGCTTCACGATCTAAGGCTAAATGCAGTCTCAACCTCTTTAAAAGCAAAAGGGTCCGTCCTTCTTCAAGGTGGCAAGAAGCAGGCAGCTAATAATCTGGTTATTTAAGCATCAGCCTTGTTTTAGATATACCACTGCGTGACTGCAGTTATTTAGTTTGAGCCGCCCGCATGTTTTGATTTTGACATCAAAATTACGACCTGTTTGTTGACTGTTTTCATATAAAACAACTGTTTAGGTAGGTTATTAGGTGGTTGATCACGACGTATATGTCTCTATTTTATATACAAATTGCAGGAAATAAGAGTCTTCCCTGACCTTCGATACATCATCTTAATTTAATATATCAAAACTATAAGTCCCTGGTTATAAGCAAGAAGAAGATTACACAGATCAGGGTACATGGAGCAGATGATTTAGTGTGAAAAGACAGAACGAATCAGTTTTGGGCTATGAACAACGCAGCTTTCATATTCTGTCCCACCCCACAATAGCGAGTAGCGACACAGGAAAGTGCGGAGAAGTGCCAATAGGCAGCCACACGCCCACACAGGCAAAAATAGAACATAATTTTTATAATATAGGAAGGACGTCTTTACTGTGCTCAATTATCATCAGTCGGTTCAGATTACAGCCCCCCAAGAAACCAGCTATGAAACTACATAGAACCTTAAATTCATGCATATGACTAAAAAACCAAACCCTTTTAACAATATGAACTATCGAATAGCTTTCTGCAAATACATTGCTATTTTCGTCAAGTCTTGAGGCTGCAGGGCCCAAAGTCAATCCACTTTCCAGTCAGTATGGAGACTTTGATTCCTAGGATTCATTATTTAAATGCAACGAGCTATGGGAGGGATATTAAGATTTCTGGGATCAAAAAGAGGTGTTGGTTATGGTCTGGTAATCCATCTTTTGATCCAATCACATTTATTATTATAATTGTTCTTGTTTTCCTTTCCTTCTCAGCCTATTTAAACCTCCTTTGAGCTTACTCAACTGGAAACCTAACACAAAAAGAAACACTTTCAATAAAAAATGAAGCTCAAAAGGTATTTGTCATGGAAAAGTTTCCTCCCGAATTGCATCAAACCCCAGGTGTCATCCTTGGGGCTAAAAGTTCATCCTTCCAAACGAAGTTCCAGCCAAAGGGTATCACTCTCTGATATTAGCCGCTGTGGCTCTCCACTGTTACTAAGTGATCTGTCGAATTCGTTTGTAAGCCTTCATGTGTTTACCCTCAAGGAGCTCGAAATGATAACTCACAAGTTCTCCAGAAGTAATTTTTTAGGTGAGGGGGTTTGGACCTGTTTACAAAGGGTTCATTGATGAAAATCTCAGGCCTGGTTTGAAGGCTCAATCTGTTGCTGTGAAGGTCCTTGATTTGGATGGCACACAGGGGCATAGAGAATGGCTGGTGAGTATTTATATGTTACCATTTCAACGCTATTCTTGATGAAGTTGAGTTGCAATGTGACGAGTAATTCTTTCTTTATTTTCTCTCACAGGCTGAAGTTATTTTCCTGGGGCAATTAAAGCACCCCCACCTGGTGAACCTAATTGGATATTGCTATGAAGATGAACACAGGCTTCTGGTATATGAATACATGGAACGCGGTAGCTTGGAAAATCAGCTATTTAAAAGTTAGTTTTGTTCTTCAGCATTTTAACGTTTGAATCAATAAAATATTGTTCTCAGAACTGACCATTAATTGTATAATTCTTGCCTTTAATGCAGGACATGGTCCACCATTGCCTTGGCTAACAAGACTGAAAATTGCTGTTGGAACCGCGAAAGGCCTAGCTTTCCTCCATGAAGAAGAGAAGCCAGTCATATATCGAGATTTCAAAACTTCAAACATTTTATTAGACTTGGTAAAAATACATCCAATGGCCTTGCCTTGATATCATATCAACAAAAATTAAAGAGAAACTGATATGAATAAGGTTTACTTTATTTCCAGGCTTATAATGCAAAGGTCTCTGATTTTGGATTGGCAACTGACGGTCCAGGAGAAGAAGAAACTCATGTTACGACTTGCGTCATGGGCACCGAAGGCTATGCCGCCCCTGAATATATCAACGGGTACTTACAAGAGTTCAGCTTATCTCAGTTCTACTTGTATTAATCTTGATTTCATAATAGTCTCAGTTCTACTTATATTAGTCTTGATTTCATAATAGTTGATGAACTTTTGTGATTTCTGTTTTTCAGGGCATCTGACAACAATAAGCGATGTGTTCAGCTTTGGAGTAGTACTTCTAGAGCTGCTGACAGGGAGACGATCAGTGGACAAGAGTCGACCTGCTCGAGAGAAGAACCTTGTAGAATGGGCAAGGCCTCTTTTGAAGGACCTTCATAAACTCCACGGAATAATGGACCCGAGACTTGAAGGACAATACTCAACCGAGGGGGCTAGGAAGGCTGCTGCATTAGCTTATCAGTGTCTGAGCAACCACCCCAAATCTAGACCAACTATGCGCAATGTGGTCAAGTCATTACAGCCTCTCCTTGACTTAGCTGACATCCCAATCGGCCCCTTTATTTATGTAGTCCCAACTCAGGACAACGAGGCGCCAGTTGTCCAGAAGATTGAAGAAAGATATGAGAAGCAATGCAATGCAGTAAAAATGGAAAAGAATGATGCAGAGAAACAAGAAAAGGAAGAGGAAAGTCGAATCCATCGTCGAAAAGGTCGAAAGCATAGACGTCGGGTTAAACCATCAAGGTCTCGAGCTATCTATTCAGACACAGACCTGTATAAAACTCTGGGATCTAGTTTGTATACTTCCAAGCACTAGAGATGCCAAAGCAGATATACCAAAATTTTAATTACTCTGTACATTGAGAATTTGGTTCTTTTTCCCTCCCATTCTCTCTACATAGAGACAGTGGAATAATATAAATTTCCATTTATTTGTTTGTAGTTAAATTCATTGCATCTTGCCATGGGAAAAACGTGTTGTTTTCTGCATTGAAAAAACACATGCCGTGTGTTTCCTGTCATCCCCTGTAGCAGAAACAATTTTTATCCTAAGCTGTCGGCCAAGGATAAGGTTTGACGGTAGATTATGTATCTATGGACGACTCATGTACAAGCTATATATGTACAATATTCTAAAATTTTCCTCAGCAACTTCAGCAGGGTTTCTAATCAAACTCTGAGTTTCCCTGAAACATTTTTCTTCAAACAAATTGACTGCAATTCGCTGTTTTGGGGACCTTGTTAATTAGTGCTGACATACCTTAAGGTGTTCAACTTCAATTGCTTCGGCTGTGGAATTGTAAAGGGTCAAATGTTTCAATCCCACCAACCCCCAACCTCGGCTTCTAGCCAAATACAGAGCACAACTTGTTTTTCATTAATTCCTCATTTTGAACGTACCGTCTCTGGTTCAAAAGTTAGGCAAACAGAAGAAAATATGGTAAAATTACATCTCTTCATGGCTAATATTTCTTTGTAAAACAATAATATCCTGGCACAAAAATGAGGCAACGAACAAGCATCATTTTATTGACTGGCCAGTTGTTATCCACCATTTTTGTGAAATCAAATATGATACGGATTAACAAGTAAAGTTCAGAAAGAACTTCATCCATGCCCTGAAAATAAAGATTTTCATTAATTTTTTTTATATTTTATTTAAAATAAAGATTTTGTACATGGAATAAAAGAACTAGATTGCCCAAATTTTATATATTCTTATAATCAAATAGTAGTCCAAGCTATAGTTAAAGTGAATTATATGATTAAGTAAAAGCAAAGAAAATGACATTATTATACAAAGGGTAAATCTTTTTGTTTGTCAAACCAGTGCTTGTCTAGGCTTGAGTACGAGGCCAATGGCTGGTGTTTTGTATGCAGTAACAAGACCACATTACAAACCAGAAAATACATTTTTTTTAATGAACTGAAAAGAAACCATGTTCCAAACGATATAATAATGAACTGAAAAGAAACCATGTTCCAAACTAGTTGAAACATGGAACTGGATTTGGAAGGTTACTACTACTAACCTACATGATGAGGCAAGCAATTGACCAGAATGTTGAGGCTACCTAGCTGTATCAACATCAACATGTGTCTGCCCCAGACCTCCATGTGCTTAAGAATACCAATATATTGTTCAATAATTTATAAGATATATCATCACATGATAAGAGGTATGTATGCTAGGTTCTTGATCCAGATGAACCAAAAAAGACAAGAACAAGTTGGGTTTAGAATAAATATTAACATGCGTTTTCCTTTCTCTTTTCGTCAATCATACATTGAATCCTTTTACCATTTGCTATGTTTCATTTTTTTGGTAGAGTAATAAATGTAATCTTTCCCTTGGAACATGTGGACGTAATCTTTCGTGTTGATTCTATATTCTAACAGTTTTGAATATGTTTGTCAAGTAATTCTCCATACGCAAATCAAATACTGTTCTAAATTTGCAGTACAAAGAAAGCAATAGGACGCATCGGATTAATTCGTCGGTTCCCATGAAAACAGCCCTCGTTTTTGAGCTCTGGTAAAGTTTACCAGTAGAAAAATAGTAACAATCTGGAAAAGCATTGGAACAGGTGAAATGATTGTATATTCAGAAAACTTCTTTACAATTCCATTTAACAATCTTATATAGATTTTGATAACTCACGAAGAAAATAAAAAAGAAAGCTGAAAAAAAACTGACAGAAACCCCTCAAAGAGGAAAAAAGAACACGACATAATGAAGATAATAGTGAAATGTTTCAAAATAAATAGGGTCGAGAACGATCTGATCCAGTAGCGTAAGGGTAGCTAGCGACGGAAACACTCATGACGGGGACAGCGAAAGTGGACTCCATAAACATTCTTTGTTGTAAAGCCTCCACGGTTGAACCTGCTTCAATGATGTCCTTAATCAAATCTCTGTAATATTTCTTCATCTTCCTCAACATGCATGTATACTGCAACTTCAGCCACCTTAGCTTCGTCTTCTTCAAAAACCTCACTACGAAAAGCCCTGGCCGCGGTTTCTTCCCCCCACCAAGTCGAACTGTGGGTAACTTATTACGGTTCCGGCGTATGAAGAAAATCCCCCGCCGCGTCTGGCATCGGGACGCAGTGTCTAAGTGTGTCCGGTGGAGTGGTTTTGTGGCGGTTGTAGCAGTGATTCGCTGATCTACGGCCATGTTGATGGAAGGTTGTGGACAAAGAGAATGGAACATTAAGAGAGCCGGTTTGTGTGAGACGAGAGAGGAGTCGACTATATGCAGACACAGCATCATAGAGCATTGGCCCCCACTCGACTTGAGTTACTATTAAATATTCGACAATTGACATCATCATTTTCTTTTCTTTTCATTTTTTACTTAAATCAATATCCAAAATATGTCAAGTGCCAATAAATCCGACTTAATAAATTGACAACGCCTAGGGTTATATATTAGCGTTCATTGTAAAAAATCCAAATTACAACCCCACTAATTATGATGGTGATATTACCGAGTTTTGGACCTCTACTATTGATATCGTTATCTTGAAGCATGGCTACTTAAATAAAGCAGATATGTTATGAAAAATATGGCAAATTCAATCAGAGAGGTGGGAAAAAACACCATTGGGTTGTCGACAGGGAAGGTCAAGGAACATAAAAAATCGTGGTGACAGAATGACGAAGTCCAAACTAAGGTGAAGACAAAACAAACTTGCTTCAAGGAGTTTATACAATGCAATGATGACGAAGAAAGATTGAGAGCTAAACAAAGATACAAGGAGGTAAAGCGGGAAGCCAAGAAAACAGTGGCTAAAGCAAAGGATTAGGCATACGATGAAATGTACAAGAGATTAGACACCAAGGAAGGACAAAATGACATCTTCAGGCTTGCAAAATCCAGGGAGAATAGGAAAAATGATCTAGGTAGCATTAGGTATATTAAGGACAACAATGGTGTTATTTTAGTGAAAGATCATGATATTAAGAGGGTTTGGGGTAGTTACTTATTTGACTTATTTAATGACGGTGCCTTTCCTTGTAGAGATAGTACCGTTGATGGGTCAGTCGACCTTCATACTACGGCCAATGACTGCCCTACAAGTAGGATTGGGATTGAGGAAGTGAAAATGACTCTTAGAAAGACGGGGAGGGACAAAGCTGTCGGTCCAGATCAAATTCCTATCACTGTGTGGCTGGCCCTAGGAGAAGAGGGAGTTAAGTGGTTGACTAACATCTTTAATATTATTTTAGAGACAACCAAGATGCCAGAGGAGTGGAGAGAGTCTACGATAATACCAATCTAAAAGAATAAAGGAGATCCCCAACGTTGTGGTAACTACATAGGTATTAAACTACTCAGTCATACCATGAAGTTATGGGAAAGGGTCATAGAGGCTAGGTTAAGACAGGTTACTAGGGTTTCAGAAAACCAATTTGGCCTTATGCCAGATAGGTCTACTATGGAAGCGATTCATCTACTTCGACGGCTTGTGGAGAAATATAGGGAAAAAATAGAGATCTTCACATGGCGTTCATTGGCCTTGAAAAGGCGTATGATAGCGTTCCTTGCGATACGATCTGGAAGACCTTGGAAACGAGACGGATCCCAACTACTTATATCCGGGCGATTCATGATATATACTGTAGATCTACTATATACGTCAGGACTATAGTTGGCGACACCGAGGCATTCCCGGTGGAAATCGGACTCCACCAAGGGTCATCTCTTAGCCCTTACATCTTCGCCTTGGACGACATCTATTGTGCGACACCAGACGGTGTCCCATGGTGTATGCTTTTTGCTGACGACATTGTCCTAGTTGCTGAAACAAAAATTGTGCTGAATAGTAGACTGACTACCTGTAAAACTGCTTTGGAAGAAAAAGGTCTAAGGATCAATATTGAAAAGACAGAGTATTTATGTTTAAACTTCAGTGGGAACCAAAATGATGAAGATATAGAAGTATGCATAGAAGGACACGTTCTCCCCTCAAAGGATTGTTTCAAGTACCTAGGGTCTATGATACATAAATATGGGGGTGTGGATGATGGCGTTACACACCGTATAAAGGCGGGATGGCTAAAGTGGAGGGCTGCTACTGGAGTTTTGTGTGACAAGAAGGTGTCTCTAAAACTAAAGGGTAAATTTTATAGAATGACAATAAGACCAGCGCTGCTATATGGATCAGAATGTTGGGCAATCAAGAAGGATCACGTAAGGAGGATGGAGTCCGCAGAAATGAGAATGCTTCGATGGGCATGTGGTAGGACTCTGTGGGACATGACACCAAACTCTGCAATTAGGATGTCCTTGGGGGTGGTGCATGTATCCGAAAAATTGAGGGAGGGAAGACTACGGTGGTTTGGGCATGTCCTTAGGCGACAACCGTCGGATGCGGTCAGGAGGGTAGAGTCGATTACAGTCGACGGTGCCAGAAGGAGATGACAACCAAGGAGGAAGTGGGTAGATTTCTTGAGAGCTGATTTGAAGGATTTAGCCCTTACCGAGGACATGACCTCTGATAGAAAAGTATGGAGACTTAAGACCAGGGTAGCCGAGTAGTGTGGGTCACATCCATAGGGTGTAGCATCTCTGTTTTCTTTGTAATGCCTTTGTAGTAATTACCATGACTTATACTTTTTATACGTTTCTGTCATTGGAATTTATGAAGGCTTAGAACTAGGGTAGAAAAGTAGTGTTGCCTTAGTTTAGGTTTTAACCCATTTGACTTCATTCCTTCTCGTAGCTTGCTATCGCTGACTTCTGTGTATCCTTCTCTTCATGTTTCCTCTTTTTAAATTTAGCCAGGTCTTAAGTTTCTGTCTATATGCAAAGATTTTTACGTAGGGATTTATTTGCAGGGATTACTTCCCATTAAAAACGCGCATATGAAGACTGCATAAGAAGACTGTTCAACTATGTATTTATATATTTATTTATACATGCATTGTATTGTATCTTTATTTTAAATTTTCTGACTGCCGGAGGTCTTCCACGGAAGCTGCTCTTAACCTGGCGTTGGGGGCAGCCTACTACCCTACCTCCCCTTACCCCATTGCATATGTGAATAGGGTTTTGTTTGTTGTTGTTGTTGTTGTTGAAGCATGGCGCCTCATTAACATAAAAATTTATAAACTTTAGGCATTGAATACAAAGCCTATAACCTTTTTCACTCGTCTATTTTACCCACATGATACGGTCTTTCCCTTTCCGTCTCACGATCACCAACTTGGTGATTTCGTCCCCTTTTTTAATTAATCATTAATTTATGATCTTTTGATAGATTAATTTAGATTGAATTTTACAGAGATCTACTACGAGGTTGACCCTCTAAACTTAATTTGCTTTATTTGTAAATATCAAAGAATTGAACCCCTGATCTTATTTAAGGAATTTAGTACCTCATTTCACTATATGATTGTTAATCCTCTTTAATTAGGTTCTAAGAACATTTTCATTAGTGTAAAAAAACATCTTTAATTAAAATATATAAATTATTTTGTTACTTAAAATATAATGTTGATAATTTAATTATATTTTTACAAAACTAAAAAATAGATATTCTAATTAATTGATATTATTTTAATTAAAATAAATATATAATTCAATAAATCAAACATGATATGTATATGTATATGTGTATATATGTATATGTGTACACATACACATACACATACACATACATATACAGATATAGATACAGATACGCATACGCATACGCATACGCATACGCATACGCATACGCATACGCAACCCTTTATCATCGGTCCCATTCTCATGTTTTAAAGCAGTCCTGTGTAAACATGTTATACCCATACAAATCAACTTTGTGAAGATAAGTATTATTGATATATTTATAAAATAGAATGTAAAAACAACGCCTGAGAGATTCGAACTCTCGCGGGGATACCCCATGATTTAGCAGGCACACGCCTTAACCACACCGCCAAAACGTCGTCGGATACCAAATTTCACATTATTATATATAGAAAAGTTATTATTATATTTTAAATTCATGTATACGTCAAATGTTTATTTAGTGAAATTCTTAAAGTGTATATTTTTACACTTTCAAATACATATAAAATTACACTAATTTTTAACTAGTTTATGTATGATATGTGTAAATCTTTCTCATTATGTATATATGAAATAAATTTGGATCTTTAAATCCATATTTCCAAACATGATACTAAATTCTTTGGTTGATTATAAGATTGTCAATTACTTAGTATTGTTTTAGTTGAATTGAATTGATTTTTATTCAATTTTTCCCTTTTAAATTATTTTTATCCAGAAACAAATCGATATAATTCTCTTAACATTGTTCAATTTGAGAAGGAAATATCATAAATTATAAATTTTACTCATTGTAAGGAATATAATTGAATTGAACTAAAACAATGTTAGGTGTTGGATTAGTTTAAGACATGTACTAATTAGACATATCCTTAAAAGATAATTCGCCATATAACATATTTTTCAAGATTCAACTAGTTCTTTTGTTTATAAAAGTTTCAAAAAATAATAATTCTCGAAGAAAATAATTATTTTTATTTATTTTTGTTAACATGACATCACACGTGTACATGTCCCAAAATAACATATTGAGGATTAAAGTGTTTCAAAAAATTAAGTTAAAATGATTATTTTGTCAAATGTTTTTATATTAGGGACTAATATGTCATTATACCGATAAAACATCTCGACTTTTGAATCCATTGAGTGATATCAATGTTAGAAAGGAGTGTTATTCTACTTAGAGATTCCGGTTTGGATAGTTACTTTTGTAGGATATGTCACTTTATCACCGATTAAAAAAGATTATAAACAGATAATATATTGTAATCATCTCAAACTAATAAAAGAATCTAACTTTTATAACAATATTAAAAACTTTAATGATGGATTAATTCCAAAAATCACACCAAATGCTACCAATAAAGCAACAAGCTCAATAGCAATCATATAGAAACACAGAAAAGGCATCAGAAGGTGAGCCAATGAAGCACTAGCCACTAGCTACATCATATGGTTTTGACCATGATTCCTGCTCCACTAAAGGGATTGTTAGCCCCTTGGAACTGTCAGTGGAAACTCCAGCAGCGAAATTAACTTCATGAATATATGGCCACATTTGAAGCTCACGTCCCCCGTCGAAGGGAACTAATTGGGAGTTGGGGTGGATCATTTTTCTCGAGCAGAAACATTGAATTCAAGCAAAGACCACATATTATCGTCCAGGTCTTCATTAATGAATTACAACGTATTTACGATGGGAGATTGTTGAATGGACGTGTAGCAAAAACCAGACACATGTGTTTGAACACGTGGAGACTCTGGGGCAGCTCACTCTCCAAATTACATACAAAATTTGTCATCCATCGGTTTCATTAACTATAACTCCGTTTGAATTGATGTAATTATCAATAGTGGTGTCGGAATATGATAAGTAAAAATAATGGATGATTAAAGGCTCTTTTGGCCATGGATAAAACATTGTCTGTTTGCTCCAATAATCAGACACATTTCTTCACATATTACAACATAGTAATAGTGATTATGGTCTAAGTTTCCTCGGTTTTTTATGCATCTTGATCCATATAAGCTGACAAGTGCAAAGCATACACCAACAAAACTCATCAAAGATCTATAAATTCTTATTCATATATATTATCAAAAAGAATTAAGAGGAGAAATTTAGAAAGCTATAGAGATAATAAAACACATTATTTTTTTTGAAGGCCGAAGATAATTGAATATTTTAATAAATAAAAAATATAAATGTTGAAATCCTTTTTATTAGTTTGAAGTAATTATAAGATAATATATCTTTGACAGATTTTTAATTATTTGACAATGAATGTTCAAACACCCTTGCAAATGTCGTGTTCGGATCATAAACCTATAAGAATAACAATCATCCCTTAACCACTGAGATCGCTTGATTTTGAAATCCTTTTTATTAGTTTGAGATGACTGTTAGATAAGTGAAACTAGACGACTGAGATTAACTCATTATTTCTTTTTTTCAACTGGTTATCTTCTCATTTTCTATTGTTAATCTTAGTCATCTATTTTTACTCATCAAACGGTTCTAAATCTTTGTAAAACTAAAAAGTTTTACACTGTATAATTAGATCATATCCCTTTATATATAATCCGACAAATCATAACCATACATATATATATAAAGTAGTAGGAAACGTAAATAGAGAAACAAAATCCTAATTAGAGGCCAGGAATGAAGGAATTTACCCTTCATTATTCACAACAAAGGGCCGTGGCTTCTTACAATCCTGTGTGTACGAAGAAAAATAATATTACTTAGGTTCCTAGCAGATTCATCGTAATCATGGCCCTTGTACCAAAACACAAACATTTGCTTAATCTTAATGCAAAGACAAACCCCTTTTCTCCATTTTATATTTGATTGATTTTAAAAGAACTGAAGATCCAATGAAAGGCCAGCTGGTCAAACCTCCACTTACGTGGGGGATCGAGCTCCACATCTCCGGAGAACCTTGTTTAAGTTAGCCGATGTTCCCTCAACTTTCCAAATTTGGTAAGCTTCGCATATTTTAGGTTGGTTCCTAAACCCTAGGGAAACTAGTTGCTATCTTTCTCTTTTAATTATTCTTATTACTGTCTACTTTTAATCTTTTGAGACTGGTTCTTGAATTTCGATTTCCTTTTTTTTATTTCTTTATTATTTACACGAATCTCCACCAACATTTCTTTCTTCACAATAATACATATCTTACTTTTTTAGGATAAATATTAATATCATATATAGACTTTAATCAAATGTAAAATGATATATATATAAGATTTAGGTACATAACTTTTAATTTTAAATAAATATATATGATAAAACTTAACCTTATTTGACTTAAAAAGAAGAAAAGAGAGCTCAAAATGTTATAAGAAGCACGAATCAAACTACTTTATTAGGTTAAGGAATCATTATGATCCCTCAAAGTTTTAGATTCGAGCATAAAAAATTATAAAGGTGTTTAAACTTTTATTGTCAACTGATTGACAATTTTTATAATATATATTACCTTATAATCACCATAGATTACTAATAATAATAACTCACAATGTTAGATTAAGCACATTAAACGTGGCAATTAATCGATCAGAATTTTGTCAACACTCTTCGCTTGGAGGCTAGCACTCTCGACATCCAATCTAATGTTACTTGTGGTCCAAATACTCAATTCCTATAATTCTACCAATAAAAAAGGCAAATCTTCGTATTTAATTGTTTAATTAATAGTATTTTATTTAACCATAAATGTTCCTAGGACATTCTTATATATATAATTAATAATATACTAGTTCGTTTTAGATATGTTTAATAATTAAAACAATTTTAAAGTTTAATAAATCTGTTTAGGTTACTATTACTTAATAAAAAAGTATTTTATTTAAATTTAACTATAAAATATAAATATATTAAACTTTGACTCAAATATCTAAATCAGTACAATTTACATTTAATGATAAAGAAAAATTTTAATTTTTTTGATATTAAATTTTAAATTCAATTCTAATTAATAATCTCTCTTACTATTCTTCATAAGAGTATTATGCGTTTTCTTTTTATTTAATTTTTCAATCTTGTAAATATAATAGAAATATATACGTTTCTAAATTTTACCGGAGGTGTGATAATACGAGGATCATGAAAACAGGCTTTGATAATATTCAAACGGCGGGTCTGGGTTGGGAAACGAGCGGATGGCTACTAAAAGTCAACCCGACCCCTTAGGTACACGTGTTGGACCGACAACAGATGAAGGGATTCTACTTTGTCCTTGACTGCTTGACACGTTGCCTACTGCTGTCACCCAACCCAGCCTTTTTCAGAGAACCACTCTGTGATTGGCTGCTGCAATTCTTTACTTTCTCTTTTATTTTTTTTTCCTATATCGAAAGTTCAATTATTTACTTTATTCAATGAAATATTGATAAATTAATTTTCAATCATCTCATATTAATCGATAAAATCATTGTGTTTTATTACTGATAAATGCATCAAAATATTTCCTCCCTCCGTTATTTATGTCTCATGTTAATTATGTACATAATTTTAAGAGAAAAAAGTTAACCATATTTGGCATGTTAATTTTAATAAATATAAAAGAATAGGACATGTAAGAACAAAAAATAAAGTACAAGTGTTGTTATTTATTGATTTTTCTCATTTTAAATAAATTAATTTTAAAATCTAAAATAGACAAATTTAATGGGTGAGAGTAATGATCTCACTAAATACATAAGGTAAGTATTAGTTTTCATTACTCTTAACTATATATAAATTAATAATTGAAAAACACACATAAAATTCATATAAAATAATTATGAAAAGGATTTACATTTTCGTTGTCATTCCAAATTCTTGATAAACTTATTAAGTCACCACCCAGAATAAGTTTGAGACAAACTGCCTAACTCTCTTTAAATTAAGAAACTTTGGTTTTCTGCTATATACAACATGTGCAAGACGTCAATATATAGAAATTCACTATTGGTTAGAGTTATATAATTATTATTTATTCAAAATAATTATTCTTTCAAGAGTTGGAGATGATGAGAAATTATGTTATAACATGTAAAAGGAAACAATAAATAACAAGATTTTCTTTCTTTTATGCATATTACAAGTTGTCGGAAAATCCTTTTTCGTTTCACTCGCAGAATCGTTGGGTAATAAATTTATAGAGATTTGATGGTTACACTTTTACTAGCCGTATATATTTTGTCTTGAAATCAGCATTTTGGTGATCTAATGGACTAAACCGGAGCCACGAGGGTGGCTGCACCCGGATGTTGTTGAATCCTGCCCATGGTATTCGCAGATCACGTGTTATTACATAGATATGGACATATATTCATAGATTATTATAATTCAGATATTAAGAGGTCATTAAATTCATCAAAATCCAAGCCTTCGTTATTATATATATATATATATTTCCATGCACAGCTCAACTCTCATTGGCTATTAAGATACGCCTCCTTCATTCCCGAGTTTTGCAGATACATTTTCCACCAACGTCCTCTTCCAAAGATTCAGTGCAGAAAGCTCCCCAGCTCGTCCCTAAAAGCTCTCGGCTTATCCTCCTCTTCGTCTCAAAATGAAGGTAAGTTTGTTTTGTCATACATGGTTCTCTGCATACTCCTTAAAGTGAAGTTTTGAGATCAAGTCTGCAAGTGGATTCCAAACCGCATGATTTTGATGAAGGCTTTTCACTTGTTCCATTGTAGTTCTTTGGTTGGGTGCAAAATAAGCTTAATGGGAAACCGGGAAGCAGTAAATCACATACAGTTCCCACTACTCGTAAGCATTCTTTTCTTTTTCCTCTTCCTAGTAATTAAACAGGACTGGTCTGTATAAATAAAGAAAATAACTTTAACTTTTGTAAATAGAATTCAGATTTATTAAAACAAATGTTATCTAGGATGATTGCATGAACCGACTTAATTTTTTTCATTTCACCTTCTCGTTATTCTAATTATTATTTACATGAATTCGAATATATCCAAGTTTATTGGGTATCATTTGAAAATAATAATCGTATGAATCAATCCGAAATCTCTTTTTATCTTTATTTTTTCTCGTATCAATAGTTATTATATGCATCCATACTCACATATAACATGATAAGATATTGTATTTATCTACACTATTCGTCGAATTAATAAATTATTATGATCATACAATATATGTATATATATATATATATATCAGGGTCTGCAAGAGGTGTCTACATAATGTAATTTTCACAAACATTTTTAGTCAATGGGGATGCAAGTGAAACGTTATTTGAGAACATTGTAAGTTGTCCTATATGCTTGTTTAACAAGGACCATTCTTATTCAACTTCCACCAATAATATTCTTCGTGCTTGTTTTTTTAAGACCAAGATCAGAGACGGGGGATCTCAGTGTTTTGATAAATCCATGGTCTTCCCCGTTGAAATCCATAAAACATAACACTGATAATGTCATGGGACAATTAGGACATGTTCCACATGTGATCTTTAACCTAGTGTTTAATAGCTCGTTTCGTGATATTTTTCTTTATCAGAGCACATGAAACAAGAGCCTCGACAAGAGTTCAGCGATTGGCCTCATGGATTGTTGGCAATAGGAACATTTGGTAACAATAATGACATCCCCGAGAATCACCGATCCCGAAACATAAACCGACGAGAACCGTTCGACATTGAAGAGGAGCAGGAGCCGTCTTCGTCCGAGGATTTACACGAATTTACATCCGAAGAAGTCGGGAAGCTAGAAGAGGAATTAACCAAACTCTTGTCCCGAAAACCCGCTTCCGATGTCAAAAAGGAACTAGCAAATTTACCATTGGATAGGTTTCTTAATTGTCCATCGAGCTTGGAAGTTGATAGGAGGGTTAGCAATGCACTTTGCAGTGATTCGGGTGATAAATCGGATCAAGAATACATCGATCGAGCCATCAGTGTCATTCTGGGCAGATGCAAAGACATTTGCGCCGAAAACAAGAAGAAATCCATTTCTTTCCTCTTGAAGAAGATGTTTGTTTGCAGCAGCGGATTTTCACCTGCCCCGAGTTTGAGAGATACACTGCAAGAATCAAAAATGGAGAAGGTAATCTAAGTAGAAACATGTTTCGATATCTTATAAACTTTATAACCAACTGCGAAATTATATCAAACGTTTTATGATTCGACAGCTTTTGAGGGTAATGCTCCACAAGAAGATTTACAATCAAAATCCTTCTCGAGCATCAGCCATAAAGAAATATTTAGAAGACAAACAAGCACCCAGAAAGCCAAATAACGAAGACGAAACCCAGCAGAGAAAGAGTGAAGATGGATATAAATGGGTGAAGACAGATTCTGAGTGTAAGCTTTTCTTGGGTTTTCATGGTAGATTTAATTATTATCCAAAAACATGCCACAAACTACGTTTTTTTTTAATTACTCGTCGAATCTTATTGCAGATATTGTTCTGGAGATCTAAAAATACCGAGATTTGCAGGTTCCTATGTTCTAATCTAGGATTCAAGAACGTGAAATGCTACCTTCATTAATATATCAAGACAAAAATTTCAGAATAGATCTATGAATCGATTGTGATAAGTGATGAGAGAAAAAGAAAAGTGTGCGATTGTTATAGCTGTGCTTCCCTCTTTTTATTTTTTTTCATGGTTGTAACTATGGATGCAGTGCAACCCATGTTCATGAGGTATCTGAAATTGATATCAGTATTTCACCGGCAGAGCTCAACAGCTAGACATTATTTTATTTATCCTTATTTTCTCTTCTTTTCCATTTTTTTGGGTTAAGGATTGATTCTCAATTCATTTTTTAAAATAATTTAAATTTCAAATGCAATTTAATCTAATTTAATCATAAAAATTAATAATTTAAATTTAAATTTACTCAACCAATAGAATTTCTTTTGTAAAATGAATCGCATCATTTTCTTGAAACATTAATTTATTTGGATCTTATAATTTCCTAGGTTAAAATTACTATTGTTTTAAATTGTTAAATTAAAAAATATGACATTTAATTAAAACAATAATATAATAAATTTTAAATTTATAATTAATTAAAATAATAATATAATAAATTTGAAGTTCCAATAATCGATATGGCTGTATTTAACGTTCTGTGTTGAATAAAATTTCGGAAAGAAAAAGCCTTTTGGCATCACATATTCACGAAATAAAACCGATTTTCACCATGTTAAACTCCACGACCTAATTCCCAATATCCATTTTCCCATCCGTCTCTAATTTTCCCGGACCTCCTCTCAATTTTCTCTCTCTTCCGGCGAGATTGGATCTGAGTGCTCAGATATATTTTTTACTCCAACTGCACTTAGTCCCTTCAAACCGGAAGAGAAAACTATACCCCAATTTCTTAACTTCCGGGGCTTTTCCACTTAGGTTTCTTCTTCTTCTCTTCTTGGATCTAGGATTATTGGAATCTTTGGTTTCGGATAATTCGTGATATTTACGTCTTTGGGTTGCTTTTGTTCTTCTCGGAGGGGTTTTATATTGTTAAATTTTTGGAGTTTGGGGTTAGATTATAGAAGAGAGAATTCTCAATAGCCAATGCCATATTTGGGTAATTGGTATTTGAAAGGTCTATTTTTGGCCTTTTTTTTTTTTGAGAGACCGAAAAAAGGTGATCAATGTCTTGGGCAGGCCCTGAAGATATCTACCACTCTACTTCTCTAGCCAGTTATCTTGACAGTGTGCTCTTTCTCTTTTGTTTTCGTTGTTAAATTTATGATGTCCTGAGATTTATTCTTTGCTGCGAATCTATTGTTTTTTTTGGCATTGGCTTTGAGTTGTTCTGTCTTATGTTTATATGCTGACGAGTTGTTAAATTTCTAGTTGTATGCTTAATCTCATTTAGGGTTCTTCGTTTAGTTGTTTATGATTTTGCAATCCACTTCCGAATTTGGATTTTGTTTATGATGTCTTTTAGGATGGTTCATGTACTAGTTAATAGTCAACAAATAATTAACAAAAGCTATTCGTTAAAAGTTTGATTTGATTCTATTAGTGTTAAGTAGGACTTTGATAAATCTTTGGGATTTGATGTGGAAGAAAATTGAAAAATTTTCAAGTTTCAACCAATTGGCCTGTTGCATGACTATTGTATTGATTGCTGTGGAGCTTTCTGAACTCTGATATTAGTTGTATTGATTGCAAATCTTATCTTTCTCTCTGCTGTGTGTCATTTGTGTTCTTTGGGCACCTTCTCAGAATTCTACACGGTAAAGATCCAACTTTTTGGGATCTAAGGTTCTCTTTCTGTCATTCCTTTTCTGATTAGTTTAATGAATTTATTACCTGTTGTTAATCAAGGTAAAACCAATCAGCTTGAGATGTCTATATAGTATTGATTACTTGCTTGTTAATCATTTTTATGCTAGTTTCTCTGTGTTATCGAGTTTAGAGACCTTTTAGCTGTTTGATTGTGTGGCTGATGTTCCTGCATGTTTAGTTTAGGTTTTGATCTTTGAAAACTTATTTCAAAATCTTTGCAGCTTCTAATAACTCGCTGTTTGGTTGTTCCGATTTTAAGAGGTATGCTTACTCCGGTGAAGCGAATGAAGATTTTGACAAAGACGATTCTACTTTGACACTCATAAAACCCTCTTCAGCACCTTCAAAGGATTTTAGAAGTGCACCAGAAGCTAGAACAGGTGAGGGCAGCAACGAAACATCAGCTAATGGTGATTTGGAAGAAGACAAGACAGAGTGACATAAAAGCCTAGCTGTGAATCCGTGGTGCTTAGAACTCGGTTCAACATTCAGAATCATATCGTTTGTAATGATCAGTTATCCATGGAAATTGTGACCAACATAGTGCTTACTGTGCAAAAACATTCAGGTTCCGGAAAGCTAACGCCTGATCTTGTTGCTTCCTCAACAGTGGAAATGATTCAATCAGCCATTGTTAAACATATCGGAGAGCTCAAGGCAGCCAGAGATCCACCATATCACCTGAATAACCCCCACGAAAGAATTGAAAGAACTTCCACTAGTATTATACGGACAATAATTTTAACTAAATTAAACTCAAATCATTTTTTAATGAGAACTATTTCACGAGCTCACTTGAAATCAAAATGCATATTATTATTTATACTTTATATTTAAGTCACTAATTCACTATGCGTTTAGTATGAGAATCTGAGAAAATAGATAAATAGTATACTCAAAAGTGTTTAAATTACACATATTCATGTTCTTTTTATCCCAGTTTTTTCACTACAACTTAAAATTTGTACATTAAGGACTGTTTGTTTACTTCAGAATGATTAAGCGTTGAATGATTCAAATGTTGAATGATTCAGAGGCTCTGTATGAATTAGTTCTGAATGTGATATGCTGTTTGATAATGACTCTGAATCATTCAAAATATACTTTTGTGTTGAATCATTCAGAATGTATTTTTGTGTTGAATCATTCAGCATTGTTTTGCTGAATCAGTCAGTATTGAATTATTCAGATGTGCGAAATAAACGCGCTGAATGCTGAACGGTTTAGAATTTAACGCTGAATGATTCTATTAAGAGGCAAACAAACAATCCTTAAGTCATTGCAACTCGATTTACATTAAAAATCATATATAAAGGAGAGAAAAAAATAAAATCTCATTTAAAATCAATAATTGTAGGTATATATGTACAATATTATTATAAAATATGATATAAGATTAAGTGATCAATTATGTCACACATGTTATAGGTAAAATGTCATAGAAACAAAATATAAATGATAAAAATTAATTTAATAATTAATTATATAAGAGGTAATGGTCCCAATAATTAACTTATATTTATCTCCTCATCAGAGATTTGCACGATAAAGAGAAAATGTATCTTCTTGAAAAATCAAAAAGATACAATGATTTCAATGTACCAATGAAATCTCCATGATTTGAGATGATAAATCTCGGGATATCTAGATTATACCATATTGTTTTAATTCTATCATTATCTCGTCTATCAGTCTAATAGCTTCTTTAATGTCTAATCGCTCCTCGGGACTAGTTTTAGTGCAAAGTGCGCCTACATGAAGGAGCTTCTCCATGCAACGAACTGAATTCCGGCAGCCCTTGATATTCGTATCAAGCAATTCAGTTTGTATCCCTTCGGAAAACGCAGATGCCACCCACTGGACTATATCGCTCCCGCCATTTCCATCGTTAACATGTTGTGAAGGATGTTCCGTTGTAATCATCTCAAGAATGATGATTCCCAGGCAATATACATCAGTTTTAAACGACACTGCTTGCTTTTGTATGGCTTCCGGAGTTTTATAAGCAAACAAGCGATCTAAACTGTCGACGTTAAGTAACGGGTGATATCCATAGTCCGACAGCAACGGACGATTATCGGGACCGAGTAGAACATTGCTTAATTTCAAATTACCGTGAGGCACGTCTCGTGAAGCAAATTCGTTGTGAAGATACTCGAGTCCGTCGGCTATTCCTCGCACAATCTTCACTCTGGTCAGCAATTCAAGGTCACAACCGTATTTGCCACCATCACCTTGCACGGTTTCATGGTTTTATTAGAAATCATAGATGGTATTGTCTTTAAGAAAAGAGGACAAAAATTATAATTTCATACCATGCAAATAGTGAAGCAAACTGCCTCTAGGAAGGTACTCGTACACGAAGAGCTTTTCTTCTTTACGGTAATGGTAAGCAAAAGGTGTCAAAACGTTGGGGTGTTGTAGTTTTCCGAGCTTTTTAACCTCGGCATCGAATGCATCCCTCCCTAATGCATTCATTTGCTTGATACTTTTCGCCACCACCTCCACTCCATTGGCCATCCTAACATAATAAGAAGACCCCAACGGTCCATTTCCGAGTGCTTCCGCCGATCCTTTCATCAAATCCGGCATCCCGAAAACACCCTTTTCATCGTCCACCATGACTAATTCGGCTACACTGGCCTTTCCAGGACTGGAAACGTTACTGTCCAAGCCTGCACTCTTGATGCTTCCTTCTTCTTTAGGTAGCATCGAAACCGGAACCTCAACTGCATCGTTAGAGCTTCCACTTGCTGGCACGTCTGAAACCGTTTGCTTCTTTTTCCTCCATCGAATTGCAAAGAATACAATCACCGAAAGTAGAATAATGACTCCTAGCGCGACCATTGCAGAAATAATATTTGTGGAAGTTTTGTTTAGAGTCGAGGAACACTGGACGCCAACCTGTTTTCCGCATAGACCTGGATTTCCTGCGAATGAACTAGCAGGAAATTTCGACAGACTGGAGGGAATCTCGCCTTCGAGTCGATTGTTTGATACATTGAGAGAGTTCAAATTTGGGCAATCAAAAGACGGAATACGTCCGCTAAATTGATTGCGTTGGAGATGTAAGCCAACGATATTAGATAAATGAGCTAATGAATCTGGAATTTTCCCAGTAAACTTGTTGTACGATAACCGAACTTTCTTCAGAGATCCCATTTTCGCAAAATAGTCGGATGGAATCTCACCCGAAAACCAATTCCTCGACAAGGATAGCACTTTCAAGGCACCCAAACGATTGAATCCGGGAATGGTGTTAGCGAAAGAATTGTTTTCGACACTGAAAGTACGCAAACCCTGAATTTGAACCAACGCCTCGACGTCAATAGTTCCCGATAATCCCATCCCATCAAGACTCAAACCCGTGACAACGCCGCCCTGACAGACCAGTCCTCTCCAAGGTCCTTTGGGACCATTGCAAGGTGCCGATCCTGGCACCCAAGAATCAAGAGCACCGGCATTGTTTAATGATTTCTTGAGCTTCAACAAAGCGTCGGAATCTGATGCGGAAAATGTCAAGGGAAATAGTAGCACGAAAGTTGTAGACAAGGACGGCAGAAATAGCCCGAAAATCCTACCCATCGCCATTATTGAGGCATCCGATGGGTTTTGGCAACGTGCAACTTTTAGTAGTATAATTGTGGGAGCTCTTGTGCAAAATTTTCGTATTGGTTTCCGTTGTGTGTTATCTCATAACGTCCGTTCGTCGGTTTTCAAATTGGATTTGCATTTTTGTTATTGTTATGTTTGTTCTTTTTATTACCGAATTATTGTTATTGTTATCGTTGTTGTTGTCCTAATTTATCTTTGCATATACTATATTATTAGATAATAAGATTTAATACTGGTAAAATTTGTTTTTTCCTTTTAATTGATATTGTTGAAAAAAAAGTATTTATGCTCTTTTAGCTTGTCAAACCGATGGGTTTCTCTATAAATTACTAATTAAACTAATGTTTATTCTCTGGAGAAAATACTTAAAATAATTTAATGATTCTAAGTATTATTATAATATTTTAATTATTTTATAAAATTTTATAGAAACTTCGAGAAATAAATTTAGTTGTTGGTCCAAATTGAATGAATTAAAAACTGAAGGGATGGCAGGTGATCATACTTTAATACTATTCTTATTATCAGGGCCGCCCTGAGCATAGGTGAGGTGGCGACCGCCTGGGGATATATTTTTAAAAATATTTTTAAGTTTAATAATTAAAAAATATTTTTAAACATATTTTTATATTTCAAACACTCAAAAATTTAGGTCCTAATAATTAAAAAATATTTTTAAATATCATTTTTATTTTAAAAACTTGAAAACATAGTAATTCATTGGGCCCCATTTTAATAATTAAGAGGTATACTAGATATGGATATTCACTTATCTTCTTATCATCACCTCCTGACTTAGGACCCTTAAAATATCAGAAACGGACCTGATTATTATTGTTTATTCTTTTCAATTTTTTATTGTATACAACCCGAATAGTTACAAATCAGCACGTCTTTTTATCAACTATTAATTCACATATCAACGGAATCACTCGTTTTATTCTCAGGTTTATATATGATAAAAGTCCTTGTACTATTTATATATTTGAAATTCAGTCCTTCTAATTTTATTTATAATAATTTAGTCTTTTTATTTTTTAGAATTAAAAATTAAACTTCAACTATTAATATTGTAATGTTCTTTGTTAAATTTGATAATGCAACATTTAAAAATTATTAATTTGGTAATACCTTAACAAAAAATAACATTGTAGTTGACTTGAAATTAACGGGATATATTTAAATTTATTAACATTTCAACTTTAATTTTTGAATTTAAAAATAAAGACAATATTTTTAAAAAAAAATAAAGGTAAACGAACTAAATTTCAAATATATAAAGACTAAGGGACTTGAAACACATTTTACTATTATTCTTACCTAATGAAAGAGGGGGAAGCACAACACATGAATTGTCTGCAAATTGCAAAACCCAACCAATTGTATGCATATATCCCACGTGACTATCTCCCTCTGTCGGCAATATAAATCCACTCAAGTGTTACTGTTACCGTCAAAAGGCGCTTGAAATCCTTGTCTTGTAAAGTTACCGATACGCGCCCCTTGTTGCTTTTAATTACCGAATCACCATACAAAAAACATATGCTATTTTTTTTTTTTTGTATATCCAAAGGTATCCCAAGCTTTGCTTTAGATTAATCTCTCGAGGTACTGTTGGGCATGAAGGTGGAGACCTCTCTCAAAAAAAATTACTGCATCTACAAGGGGTTCAAACCAAGGACCACTTGCTTAAGCGACCAGAGCCCCTTTCACTTAAGCCAACTTTCGTTGGTAAAATATATGCTATTTTATAATAATTAGAATTTTGATTGATTTGTTTTATCAGTTACTCAAATACTAATTTAATTAAAAATAATTTAAATACTAATATTTTAAACGATAATTAGTATTATTTCTATTATTATTTAAGTTTTTATTAAATATTATTATTTAAGTTTATAATTAACTAATTAAGTTAACATCATAGAATATTAATTATACCTTTGTAAGAGTCAAATTGTTCGTCTAAAATTCATATGAAAATAATAAAATATTATTATTTTAATTTTATCTTTATATATTTATGTATTTTTAAAATAAAAATATTAAAAAATATTTATAAAATTTTATAACGCTACACATTGTAATTTATTAAATAAATTTTCTTTTTTATATAAAATATATTCTTTTAATCATATTAAATTTGTGATATAATTTAATAAGTATGTACATAAAATAAAATTATATTTGATATGTCAGTATTTGAGAATTCATTAATTTCAGTGGTAAAATTGAATGTTATTCTTCTTAAAGGATCCGTGTTCGGACAACTACGTTTGCAGAGTATATATATATTGTCAATATACTAAAAAATTTTGAACATATATATTATCTTCTAATTATCTTAAATTATTAAAAAAATTAATTGAAATTCTTAAAAAAATCGAAATTTACACCCAGAATTATGTAAAATATTTTTTAAGTACTAGTATTATAAAAATAAAATAACATATATGACAGTCATGTATATACAGGAAAAGGAAGTAGTTATTAAGATTATTTTTTAATGTAATGGAAGAATAATAATTTAGTAATAAAAAATTGTGCGGGGAGGGGGAAAAGTGTGTAGGTATTGAAGTTGTGAAAAGTGGTTTTTTTTGGTGATTTATCAGCAAGATTTTTTTTTTCAAAATAAGTCAATTTTTTGAATTACATTTATATTATATTTTCACTTACCTACTTATTATCTATATTTGATTTTTTTCTATATATTTTAATACTTAATACAATAAATTTAATAGTTAGTTATTTATATTAACATGTTTAAATAAAAGAAGATATTTAATTTTAATGTATAATTATTTTTTAATTAAAAAATTAAAAAATTATACTATTTTTGAATATAAAAGGGAGATTAATAAACTTAGAAAATCTTCAATATATTATACAAAAATAAGGTGAACCAGAAAAATCATTTTCATTGATGTTTCTATCAAAAAGTAGAAAATTGATTGAAAGAGCTCTACCTAATTTTTCTGTTCATACCCTCGCTTTTTTTTCTCTCTCTCTCTTAAATAAGCTGGTAGATGTTACTAGCCATTCTCATACTTAACCATCTATTTAATTATGTCTTCTTAAAAAATACTCATAACACGAATTTTATTTACGTTTTGTATTAATTGATTATAATATATTTTTAAATTATTAAACGAATATACAAATTACATCATGATTTGTAAAGGATTTCTCTCTCTAAATCAATTTAATTAAAACAAACGGAATATAAGATTTAGATATCATTTATTACGGTAAAATTCATTTAATTCATATGAAGAATTTTATTTTTTTAATATATTTGTAAACCTTATCACTTATTCATGACAAATTTCACCTATGTTGTAACAAATGAGTATTAAAATAATTTTTTAACACCTTCATTTTTCAAGTTTTTCCTTTTCAATCACAATATTTCCAAACTTTATTGGAGGAAAAACATAAACTTGGTCCACATGCAAAAGGGCAGACATGGCAAAAAAAAAGCGAGGTAAGCAATTGCAAGGAAACTCCCACCCAATTTGACTCTTCTCTAACCTTCCAACTTCCATTATTCAGCATTATTATAGTACCGGTCATCTGGTTTTATCTTGCTTTTTTCCATAAGGAAATAAAAACGTGCTCTAAATCCAATAAATTAATTAATGTTATTGATAATTCCAAGATAAAACCACGACAACTTGTTTGGTCATCAGATTCAAGGAAGGGGTGAAAAATCTCTTAAAGCCGGCAGATGACTTGGATCAGACCCTGAAGTTTGGTGTTTCATTAAGTTTTCATCCTTGACACAGTTGTTTCGTTCAGCTTTTGTAAGAAGCTCGAGAGCTTTCAGGCAACAACAACAATACGAGGAAAAGAAGCAGCAATGTCATGTTCAGGCCAGAAGTCCGGCAAGGCTCTCGAGAGAGCAAGTTTAGTCATTCTTCTTAGCCAGTTCTTGAAAGAAAAAAGAAACCTTGGGGATATCAGCGTCGGGATGGCTTCAAAAGGTATCATTTTGCTTCCTTTACAGGCTTTCTGCATGCTGTCGAAGAAAAAGGGTTGTTGTAAAATTATGAGCTTTTTGCTTTGGTTGATTTCTGGGGGGGGGGGTATTTCATATGAATAATTTATGGATTTCTATTCTGGTGATGTTGCAGGGACGATGAACTTTTGCCTAATATGGATAATTTTTCTGAGAGTTTAAAACCAAATCTTGTGGCATCTACATCAAACTCAAATGCGAAACCTTCTGGTTTTTTTCAAGAGATTGGTGGCTTTGGTGCCTCCGGTTCCAAGGAAGATATCAATAACACGACAGATTTCAGGTGTGTGTGTTTTCTTCATTAATATCACAAGATATTCAGAATTTTAGATACCGTTTATTTGATCTTACCTGTTTAATACTCATAGGATTGACAATAAAATGTTAGAAATGGCCGTGAAACTTAAAATGTAGCGTTTTGTTGATTTAGGAAACCAACAAAAGTGGAGGCAAAGAGTTCCCAGCTGACCATTTTTTTGGGGGACAAGTGGTGGTATTTAACGACTTTCCTTCCGACAAGTTCAAGGAAATCATGGACTTTCTAGCTAGCCATGGATGCTCAACTGCATGCAATGGCGTTGTTGCCGACACCGGCATGGAAAAAGTTATTTCTAAAGTTGACAAAGTCGAGTACATCAACCCTGAAATTCCCGATCTGAACGTCTCCACCACGACCGGCAGTAGTCTTCCTCCTCAGGTTCCCTCCGCCGAGCGGTGTGAGTATGGAGGTTCAGGTAATTATCCTGGAAGTTTCTGTTAGGGAATTTTTAAAAAATTTAACTATTAATGACCGAGTTGTTTTCTTTACTTTCTTCTTTGCAGATCTACGAATTGCTAGAAGAAATTCACTTCAAAAGTTCTTTGAAAAGAGAAAAGACAGGTAAGAAAAAATTTCCAGCACTAGAAAACTTTTGGATCCCACTAAAGCTTCTTAGAAACCTATTTTGTTTTCTCAGAC